CTCCCCTCCCTCTCTGCTTTCTGACCTGCTTCCCCTGTCACTCTGGAATCTCCACCCCCTTCACTGCGCTCTGGCGGAGAAGCCGGTCCCGACTCCCAGCTCCCACTCTGGGTTCCCCCGCTGGTCCCCTGCTCCTGACGAGTCCCCCCTGTGACTCCCCTTGGTCTGACCACAGGCGCCCCCTTCTGGGAATCCTCCGACTCACTTGAAAGACTCATGGAATCCCTCAAGTCATTGTCATCCTCTTCCTCGCTGCCCTGGGATTCTTCCCCCTCGCTCTCTGCCTCCTCCCTCACCTGTGCCTCTGTCCCTGAACCCCTGACAGCGGCTAACAGATTGAGGTTGAATCCTGACAAGACAGAAGTACTGTTTTGGGGGGACAGGAGGCGGGCAAGTGGAGGGACTCCCTGGTCCTGAATTGGGTAACTTTGCCCCGGAAGAACCAGGTGCACAGCCTTGGAGTCATTTTGGACTCCATGGAGGCGCAGGTCCATTCTGTGTCCAGGGCAGCTGTCTATCAGCTCCATCTGGTACGCAGGCTGAGACCCTGTCCTCCCACAGACTGTCTCGCCAGAGTGGTGCATGCTCTAGTTATCTCCCGCTTGGACTACTGCAATGCACTCTACATGGGGCTACCTTTGAAGGTGACCCGGAAACTACAATTAATCCAGTATATGGCAACTAGACTGGTGACTGGGAGTGGCCACTGAGACCATATAACACTGTTCCTAAAAGACCTACGTTGGCTCCCAGTACATTTCCAAGCACAATTCAAAGTGTTGGTGCTGACCTTTAAAGCCCTAAACGGCCTTGGTCCAGTAAACTTTAAGGAGCGTCTCCACCACCATCGTTCTGCCTGGACACTGAGGTCCAACTCTGAGGGCCTTCTGGCAGTTCCCTCAGTGTGAGAAGCGAGGTTACAGGGAACCAGGCAAAGGGCCTTCTCGGTAGTGGCACCCGCCCCGTGGAACACCCTCCCATCAGATTTCAAAGAAATAAACAACTATCTGACATTTAGAAGACATCTGAAGGCAGCCCTGTTTAGGGAAGTTTTTAATGACTGATGTTTTAATGTATTTTTAATCTCCTGTTGGAAGCCACCCAGAGTGGCTGGGGAAACCCAGCCAGATGGGCAGGGTAGAAATAAATTATTATTATCATTAGTCGTAGTTGTAGTATTAGTATTATCACCCCCAAAAACTAGCATTCCTATACTGCCTCTGGCAGTGGAGGTGGAAGATGGCCCTTGTGGACAGTGGCCACTGATAGCCTTGTCCAATTGTCTTTTAAAGACATCCAAGCTGATGGCCATCCCTGCGTCCGGTGGGAGGGAGTTCCAGAGTTTTTGCATTGCATGAAGAAGTCTTGCCTTCTGTCTGTCCTAAATTCCCATTCACTTCAGTTCTAGTATTATGAGGGAGAAGTACTTCTCTGTGCCCACCTTCTCCACGCCAGGTATAACCTTATGGCCCTCTGTCATGTCTTCCCCTCTCCCCTCTTCCAGGAGCTGGTGTGAGATGCTAAGTGCTGTTGAGCTGACTGGGAGCCACAGGGCTATCAGACTGAATGTAGGACTAGGCCAGGGGTCTGCAACCCGTGGCTCCGGAGCCGCATGTGGCTCTTTTACACCTTTGCCACGGCTCCAGGGCGGATACTAGCGAGGGGAGGAGGCGCATTGTGCGCCCCGACACTCCCCACTGTGGTGGGTGCTGTACTGGCTGTGACGTCGCATGGGGGTGGTGTGTGCGTTAGTCACGCACCGTCCCGACGTCACCTTCCCGCCCGCCCGCTACATTGTAAGGGGCATGTATGCTGGTCACTGCATTGAAAGGGGGCATGTACGCTGGTCACTGTTTTGAAGGGGAGTGAAGCACACACACACAAAAAAAGGTAACTTGTTAATTTAACGTTTATTTCTATGAGGAGGAGTAATTCTGAGGGGTCAAACAAAGAAATAATAAAAAAGTGACAAAAAAGTTATTTTTATAATGACGAGTTTTGCGGCTCCCAGTTTTTTTTCCTCTTTGGAAACGGGTCCAAGTGGCTCTTTTTGTCTTAAAGGTTGCAGACCCCTGGACTAGACAAAGGCAATTGCCAGGAAGGTCTAACGCCAGCTGATCTAAGTGCAACAGAGGAAGCTTCCCAAACGGGGTGGGGGGGCTGTAAAAAGGGAAGCAGGGGTCAAGGTGGTCAGCTTTCTGCAGGAAGAGCACCTACAACAAACCAGGGACCGTCAAGGAGGCTTCTTCTTCCAGAAGGCAGAAGTCTTGGCCATAGGAGGAGAACAGAGAGGAACACAAACCATGGCAAAATTGTGGCTCTGGAAAAGTCCCTGTGGGCAGGAACAGAACCACTTTGGAGCAATGGTCCCAACACTCATCCCCCAGAGCCGGTCCATGAGGACAGCACAATCAGAGGCATCAAAGGCCGCCAAGAGAGAGAGAAACAGAAGCAGGATCATCCTCCCTCTGCCCCAGCCTCTCCATCCAAGCCACCCATTGGAGGGACCAAGGCTGATTCGCTCCTGAGCCCATGCCTGAACCCAGGAAATCAGCCCACCCCTCACTCCAGGGACTCCTGATTCTGCGAGGCCTGCTTGTCGGTCAGAGCAAAGCAATTAGCTGCCTCCAAGGTATATGAAAAGCCTGGTCTTTATTTTGTTTCCAAATCTGAAATAGCAAAAAAGACCCAGAGAAAGGGTGCAACCTCTTTTAAAAGTTCAGTCCCCCCACCCCAAGACCCACTCCCACCAGTGGCGTAGCGTGGGTTGTCAGCACCCGGGGCAAGGCAAGTAATTTGCGCCCCCTAACCTGTGGATTAGCCCTAACCCCAGATGTTGCGCCCGGTGCGGCCAGCCCCCCCTGCACCCCCCACGCTACACCACTGACTCCCACAAGTGTAATACAAACGTCACCACGTCACAGAAAGAGGTGGTGTTTCCCAGAAATGTGTGTGCTTGACTGGCCACCTACCAAGCAAGAAAGACAAGTCTCTGCTCATCTTTCACCTTTTGCAATCGTTAAGGTTTTCCTTTCACATCCAATCACAGTAATTGCCCTTTACCTTATCTGTGTTAAACATTTCCTCCTTGGTGCATTGATAGCTGTCCTTTTGTCCCATTTCCACTTCTGATAGCTATCTGTAATTTCCCAAGACCTGATTCTGCCCCCCCCCCGACCCCGTGCCTTGGAGATCATGGCAGTTCCCAGCTTGTCCAGGCACTGCAACCTGGTACCTCTTTGCTTAATGTGTGTGATCCTTGGTTTGGCTTTTTTTTTGTAATTAAACCACTTTCATACAATTTCTAGTGTTCATTCTAGCATTCATTCATGTTTTCCCTGAGTCTCCATTCATAAAACTGGCTGAGATTAATAATTTCTGCTAGTAGGAACCTTATTTGAAATCTAGGTAATCCACCTGCTCCACCACCCGACCCAAGAGGGGGCCATTTCCAACCGAGCAGCAAAACATCCAGGGTGGGCTTCTTTACGAGTGAGAATTATGTCACTGTAGATAAAAGCACCACCACCATCTAGCAGTAGTGATGCTTTGAGCACTGCTTTCTTTTCTTCAAATTTTTCCCTTGGCTTGGTTCTGCTGGAGTTCTTCCTCTGGGTTCTGCTGCCTTTTCCTGGTGTGTCTGTGGGGGGTCCGGACTGGCCCCTGCTGCTTCTGCTTGTGCCACCCCCGTTGCAAGCACAGGAGCCTTGCCAGGAAAGATGGCAGCCCCTCTCCACCCAGGGCACGACTCCCCTTGCAGCTCAGCGCATCCACTCTTGACCAGAGGAGAACCAGCACTGTGTGTCAAAACCCAGAAACCCCCCCCCCCCCGTTTCACCTTCCTCTGGGATAAGGCTTTCTTCCTCTGACAAGGGTGGATTCTGCCAGAGGGCGGCAGGATCAGACCCACAGGGAGACAGGGAGACACAGGTGGGCTGAAATGGTTCACTTTATTTCTTTCTCAGTGTGCAGATGATCAGGTGCCCATTGTGATTTTATAGTGCAGGCAAATGGCAGTGCTGGGGGTGGGGGGGGTGAAGTTACACACATACCCCCCCTCGCATCACTTGCATGCCCATGGTGCTCAGGTAAGCGTGGCTTCCCTCACAGAAAAGTAAAGGGATACTGCTCTGTGAGCTACAATTCCTGGATTACGGGGGGTTGGACTAGATGACCCCTGGGGTCCCCTTCAACTCTGCAGTTCTGTAAGTTGGCACAAGGGGTCTTTGGAGAGCGAATCTGCAGTGGGAAACGATGCCCAGTCCTCCTGCGACTGCCGAGTCCAATTACATGCGCTTGTTCCCAGCATCACACGCACGGCCCAAGAGCAGCTGGCGCCTGCCTGAGCTGGCCAGAGGCCCACTGGGTGAGCGGCTCCCAGGCCCGGGCCTGCCTTGGCCTTGCCCTGCTTAGGGGGCAGCCTGCCAAGGGGTCCAGCTGGCGTGAGGGACATGGCTGGGCAGGTGCTCCTTTGCAAAGGGAAGAGCCAGGAGGTCACTGTGGCTGCTTCTGACGCAGAAGTGCTGCCTGCTCACGCCAGGACTAACACACTCTGTGTATGCCCAGAGACACCTTGGCCACATTTGCTTGGATTATGAGAGATCTTTAAGGGAACTCGCAAACCCCACCTTTTGGCTCTCGGGACCTTCAGCCTAATCCCATGCAGCCCCCTGGCTGGCTTAGAGCAGTGGCGAAGGAGAGATCACAGAAGGGAGGAGAGCCTCCTGCCATCCCATAATCTGCATGTTCTCCATCCACTGTTGCAGGGGAGGCCCATGTTCCTCAGTGGCGGGGGGGGGGTAGAGTAAGGTTACCAGTTTTCCCCCCAAAGAATCTGGGGGCTCTTTTTTAAAAAAAAAAGAGGGGGGGAAGTAATTTTTTAAAAAGTTTTTTAAAATGAAGAAGTAATACCTTCTCTTCTGTGGTCTCCTCTGGGTCCTGGCCTGCTCTCTTGGAGGCGGCAGCAGCGGCGCAACAAGGTTGGGGCTCCCCTCTTTTTCCTCCTTCCTCTTTCTCTCTCTTCCTTCTCCTTCTCCTCTCCCCTTTCTCCCTGCATCGGCTCCAGGGTTTTCCTGGCCATGGAGTGCTGCTGGGCAGTTGGCCGGGCGCTCTCACTCCCAGCTCGATTCGGGTCACGGGGTGTGTGTGTCAGCGGTTCCCCCAGTTGACGCGCCGGGAGTCCCTGTTCCCCCTCAGCAGTGGCAGCCTCAGCAGCCCGGAGCCAGGCTGGTAGCGCAGTTGGCCCTGGCTGGCTTCAGGAGCTGCTCGCTGCCGTGGCGCCCGCCCTTTTGCCTCACCAGAATTCCCCATATGGTGTGTCTTGTGCCGTTGAACCCATCACGCAACATTCAGTCCCTGCTAATAAATCTACAACACTTAAAATATAAATCCGGGGACATGAAATGAAATCCGGGGACATTCCGGGGACAGATTTGTGAATCCGGGGACGCAGAGAGTTGCCTTGTATGCAGAAGGTCTTCCGTTCAATCTCCAGGCGCTCCTCCGGGGAAAGTGCAGGAGGAGAGATCGTTGCTCTTGTGCTCGGATCCTGCTAGCGGGTTTCCCACTGAGGCATCTGGTTGGCCACTGAGAGGAGAGGGGGCTGGACCAGATGGGCCCCTTTGGCCTGATCCGGCAGGCAGGCAGCCCAACTGGCCAAGACCTCTCCTCTTGCTCAGGGGCTCGACGGGTCAAAGGGCTGACTGGGTGGAAGCTGCCTGGCTAGGAAGGACTCCTGGGGGGGGGTGGGCTTGAGGGTCCTCGTGTCCCAGGCCCTGATGCAGCCCTTCCTGGGAGCCCCAGCTGAGGCCAAGGGGAAGTTTCTGCTGCAGCTGGCATGGGATGTCTGCACTGGGGACCCCCTCCCCGTCTTTCTCAGGGTGCTGGAATTCCTTGAGCAACATCCCCCAGCCCCCCAGCTCAGAGCCTCCCCCTGTGAGAGACAGATCCCACCCAGGCAACTGCGAGCAAAGCAGCAGCAGCAGCAGCTCTTTGTGAGGCCTCCAGAGCAGAGGCAGACGTTTGCTTCCTTGGCATGGGGGGAGGGGGGAAGGAGGGGTGCCAGCTGGCATCCTTGCAAGTAGTCAGTGGCCCATTTACACCCCCAGAATCTGGATGGCTCCCCTACCCCACCCAATGCAGGGTCTCCTGGCAACCGCTTGCTGTGGGCACATTCAGAAGGTGCCAGAAGTGGAAGACCCCAACCCCCCCCCAGCAGCTTTGCTCCAGAAGTACCTAAAGGCTGGTGGGGTTACTTTCTTTGCCAGGGCTGCCTGGAGACACCCTCCCCAGCCTCAGGAGCCACTTGGGCTGGGCATGTGGCTAGTTCTGGGCCAGGATGAATCTCAGGCAGGCTGCCAAGATGTGGGCGTAGGATCTTAGAACCACAGCATTGTAGAGTTGGAAGGGACCCCAAGGGTCATCTAGTCCAACCCCACGCAAGGCAGGAATTGTTTGTTTCCAATCTGGGCACCAGGCCAATGGACAGCGAGGGACTAGCGGACGTAGAGCCAGTCGGCCAGAGCCGTGGGCAAGTGGGTGAAGGCCTGCAGCCGGACCCACCAGCGGGCCTCCATGGGGTTGTAGCGGGCGTAGGGGTGCCGCGCGGTCAGCGCCTCGGTGATGTCGTCCAGCACGAGGGAGACGTCCCTCAGGCCGCTGCGCACAAAGCCCTCCATCTGGCGGACCTGCTCCGCGAAGTAGGCCTCTCTGTAATCCGCACGGACGGCTGCGCTGGCCCCGCTCCACATCTGCTGGGCCTCGGCCTGGACTCCGTCCCGGGTCAGGATGCCAGTGGCCGCGATGAAGTTGCTGGGCTCCACCGCCACCACCCCCACCCCCCAGGGGTACATCTCCTGGCGGAGGCAGCTGGTGAAGGCCTCCAGGCCGGCCTTGGAGACGCAGTAGGAAGAGCGCAGAGGACTGGACATGCGGCCGAGCATGCTGCTCACGTTGACCACGCGGCCTGCAGGGGAGCAGAGAGGCAGGTGCTGGGCGAGGAGGGAGGCTCTTTGGGGCCGGCCTTCTCAAAGGGGGGCAGAGGCTGCCCGGAAAGGTCAGCGACTCATCGGGGAGCTTCCCAGCACCACCCCCATGGTGACTGAGAGAGGAGGGAAAGGAACTCTGCGTGTGCTCAGAAGCACACCTCACCAAAATTATTTTCCGTTTCACTGCAAGCCAGCTTTGGAGGCCCCAAGTCCCACTGTCCCATGGGCTGAGCAAATCCACGCGGGCTGAGGCTGCCCACTGGAGCCTGAGCTCCAGAGCTGACCCATCTGCCGCAGGATCTGGAGGGAGGGATCCTGCAGCCGGAGGATCGTGTCCCAGCTGCCCCACCTTCTGCAGGGGCTCCTCAGCTGCTCTTGCCAGGGCTTGTGACAGCCCCCCCCCAGGGGCTGGCTGCCCCTCCCAGGCCACTGCTGGCCCAATTCTGCAGCAGGAAACCCTGGCAAAGGGACCGAGCGCAGCGGGGGGAGGGGGTGACAAGGAGGGTGTCCCTCAGGAGGCGGACGATGCCGTACCTTGGGCCCTGCGGATCAGGGGCAGAAAAGCCTTGGTGACTCGGATGGCCCCCCACAGGTTGACCTCGGCCACCCTCTGGTACTTCTCCACGCTGGTGAATTCCACGTCCCCAAAGGAGGCGACTCCGGCGTTGTTCACCAAGCCCCACAGACCTGTCAGGCAAAGCAGGAGATGCGTCCTGGGGGTTCTGCCGCAGGAACAGGGTCCTCTGCCCCTGGGGACACCCGGCCCCCTCTCTCCCTGCCCCCTCCCAGGGCCCAAAGTGGGACCCTCTGAATGAGGACGCCAGAGGAACCTCCAGAATCAGCCGGGGGGGGGGACACAAGAGGCGCCATCCCTGTCAGGTGGCATCAAAGCCTACTTCTAGGGGGGAAGTGGCCCCAATCCAACAGAAAGGTGAAATTAGCAGCCAAAGGTAACAAGTGCATATTCTTGCTAGTTAGCATGAGAAGGGGTTAACACCACAGAGCTGTATTGCTAACTGGCACATACTCAGACCATAGAAACAATTGGTAGACAGGGTTCTGTGTGATGTCATTTCCCCTCCATATGGTACTTCCTGTCCCCTCCTCTCTTCCATTGGCCAGTGTTGGAGGCAGAGTTGCCTCTGCTTGCTCCAGTTTTGGGTTCAGGCCCGAAGCTACTTATACTGTAAATGTAAGTCTTTTGCCTGCATAGTTTTTACTGCTGCCATTGCTGTGAACCATTGCGAGATTATAAGTTATATTTTTAACTTATTTACAAGTTGTTGCCTGATTGTTTGTTAAGTGGAGTAAGAAAGGGGAGCCAGCTCGCTTCATGAAGCTGGACTTGCTCAAAAGGAGCCTAATTCCTACGCTTTTAATTTTGCTGCCAAGAATGGGATTTTGAAACTCAGTCCCCGCTCGTGGGAGCCTGGAGGGATAAATTGCAATTAACCTCTCCTCTCCTACCCATTAAACCCCTCCCACATTCTGCACTGAAATGAGTAGGGCTGGTGGGGGGAGCACATCCATGGGGGAGCCATGGGGTCTCCATCCCAGGCCATTTCCTCCTCCCCACAGATCCACCCCATTCCCTCTTTTCCAGTGTCTTTTGTCCTTGAATTCTGAGCCCCAGGAGGTGCACCAGCGCAGAGGGGGTTCTGCTGCCCTCCTCTCTCCCCTTGCTGCCCCCACAGCCCCCAAAGAGGCTCTGGCAAAGAGGCTGGAAGAGTTTCCCAGGAATGTCTCCCCCAGTCAATTCCACCCAGAGAGATCCACCGAAGGACCTTCTGGCAAGTCCTGCATGCAAGAGGTTGGACTAGATGAGTCCACCAACTTGACCATGCTCTGATTCTGTGGGTCTCCCAGGGGCTGCCAAGCCCCACGGCTGGGTGAGCTGAGGCGCTCGCTCTGCTGCCCCCTCTCTCCTCCAAGGGGTCTGGAAGAGGTGGGGCAGCTCTCTCTCTCTCTCTCCCCTCCTTACAGCCCCCTCTTCCTGACCTCCCAGTCTCTGAGTCAGAAGGATCCTGTACAGAGAATCAGGAGACCACCTCCACGAAACTTGGGGGACCATTTCTGCGTTTGGGGTGGGGGCCAGAGGTCTCTGCGGGGGTGGGGGGCTTCTCCTTTCCTGCCTCTTGCACAGAGAAGGGGTCCTTTGAGGCTGGCTCAGCTGAGGGCATCTTTGGGGCTCCTTACGCAGACCCCCCCCCAAAGCCTCTTGTTTGCCTGGCTCCATGCCCATGTGCCAACCCTCTCCTGCTTCATTCCTCCCACCCATGGAGACCCCTCCCTGCTCTGGCCCAGCCTCCTCCTCCTCCTCCCTTCTGGCCCTGATCCCTGCTCTGCTCCTCCTGCTGACTCCCTTGGGTGGAGGCGGCCCTTTGCACAGTCCTCCCTGCCTTGCCTCTGCCCTCCTTTGCTCTTTGCAATCCTCCTCAGCCCCATCCTGCCCCAGGGAATGTGGGGCTCAGCAGCAGCCAGAAAGGCTGAGCCGGGGGTGCTGCTGCTGCTTCTGATGCTGCCACGGGGGGCGGGGGCGCTTCCTAAAGCCTGCTCAGAGGTCCACACCTTGTCCTGGATCAGGCCCCCAGGCAGGCAGCCCCCCCCATGCCTGCTGTGCAGCTAAGATGCCCTTTTCCCTGGCCCTCACCCACAACTGTCAGCCCAGTGCAGGAACAGAAGCCAGCCTACGCCTGGGGGCAGCCGGCTCTCCCACCCCAAGCCACCTTCCTGCCCACAAGGACTTGCCTCCCCAAAGGGAAGATGCCAGTTTAGAGTAAGAGGCACCATGGTGGAAGTTGATACAGTTGGGCCTGGCAGGAGAAGCAGAGAGAGATCAGTTTTCCTCCCTGTCTCCTAACTCCAGAACTCCTGGGCATCCAATGAAGCTGAACGTTGGAAGATTCAGAGAAAGGAAAGACTTCTTCATGCGGCACATAGATAAACTGCGGAACTCCCTTCCACAGGAGGCAGCAATGGCCATCAACCTACAAGGCTTTCCAAAAGGACTGTGCCAATTCATGGAGGAGGAGGAGGGGGCTTTGGGGGCCGCAGGAGGGGAGAGCTGCCCTTGCCCTGGGGTCCTGCTTGTGGGCTTCTTCCCGTGGGGGCCTCTGGTTGGCCATTCTGAAGATGCTGGACCAGATGGGTCACTGGCCTGATCCAGCAGCCAGGCTCTTCTGGGTTCTTATCTCGTGATCCCAGTTCCATCCGCTGCCTCTTTTCCAGGAACTGAGCCACCTCCCTTTGAGGCCCCCCCCCCGACCTCCACCCTCCCCACTGCCTGCTCAGGATCAGCCAGGATGAGCTTCCCCTCTGGGCCACCCGCCCCACAGACACCAAGCAGGTCCCTCTGGCCCTGCAGCTGCCCCAGGGATGCCCGGTTCCAGGGGAGCAGAGACACCCCAGCCCCCACGTGGCCCTGGCCAGAGGGCCCTTACCTCGCTCAGGCCCCTTCAGGCTCCCGGTCACGAGTTGGAGAGCCCTGGCCACCTCCTCCTCGCTGCAGACGTTCATCTGCAGGACGTGCATCCGCCCCGAGGGTCCCAGGCGCTCCAGCTCCCGGGCACCGTCTCCTCCTTGGTCCTGCTCAACAGACACAGGAAAGAAATCCTTTGCCCACAACAGTCTGCCAGGAGTGGTCCCCCCTCCAATCCACTCCCAGGGCCCCCTGGATCAGGCTGGGGGCTGCCACTTAGCCCCCTGACCCCCAGCTGCTGCTTCCTTGTCTGCAGGAAAGAGGGCAGTATTGGCAACCATGTTTTAAACCCTGCTTCGTGTATCTGGGAATGGAAAACCAGGATAGTGTAATGAGTTTGGGGAATCAGGCTGAATGCCAAGACATACTCAAGCCCTGGAAACAGCAAGTGTTAAAAGACAAGCCAGGCTAGCTTCCCTAGGAGGAGATCGCTTGGGTGATGGGCCATTTCGAGAACAAAGGAAAGGGGCTCTGTGTGAGGTGGCAAAGGGGTGGCCTCGCAGGTGGTTGGAAGGAATTGTTGTTATTATTGCTTCCTAGACATCCATCCATCTGGTGGGTGTTCCCACTCCCCTCCACCAGGCAGGCCAGGGGACTGGGACTTTGCCCCCCGCCCCAGCTCAGCGGCCTGCTCCCCCCTTCTCTGCTCCAAAGGCCCAGGCAGCCAGAGGAGACGCCCTGTCTGGCTCTCCTCTCAACGGACGGAGGATGTGGGCCGGCTTCATCGGAAGGGATTTCCAGATTCATAAACTGCCCCACAGCCAAAGGCTGCCCAAGGGGGTGTACTGTCAGATGAACAGGGTTGCAGACTCAGCTGAAACCAGTAAGGCCATTCCCGCAATTGTGCAAATCCAGAGGCTGATGGGCATTTCAGGGAAAGCCTTCGGGATCAAGGGCATATTACGGGATTAGTGGTTGCCCAACTTCATTTGAAACCACAGGGAAGACACGAACCCTTTGCAAGGAGAGCAGAGGATCCCCAGAGGCGATTCTGGGGCGGTAAGCCTGGCAGTTGGGATGGGGGTGGCCAGGAATGTCACCGTCTTCTGGGAACAGGAGACACAAAATCTGGCAGGGGAAGGTCCTCGCTTTGCAAACGGGTTCAGGGGCTGAAGGGAAGCTGTCCCACGGGAATCAGGAGCCCAGAGGAATAGTCCTGGGGCCTCTCTCTGCCTGCGCAGATGTCCCCCGCTGCCCCGGATGTTTACAAGGGACCCAGGCGAGGCGGCTGAGGGCACGTGGCTTGGAGCTGTGATGAAGAACCTGCACCTGCTGCTCCTGCAGTGCGGGAAAGTGAAAGTGAGCCGTCACCGTCTCCACGGCAACAGGGCCAGGCACAACCTCACTTGGGATGGAAACTTCCAGGCTTGGCCGCCTCCCAGCGGGGGGCTCACTGGCCCTGCCAGGTCTCCCAGGCAGGCAGGGAGGGAGGGAGGTCACCTTGGCCGGCCTGAATCACAAAGGAGACGGCTGCATGACCTCTGGGTGTCCCTGGGCAGGAAGGCGGCTGCGGGAGGGGAAGAAGGTGGAGAGGAGGCCACCCAAAGACCCTCTCTGGCAGGAGGAGGAAGAGGAGGAAGAAGAATGGCAGTTGTCTCAGGCACAGAGATCTCACTCCACGCCCCCCCCCAAGGGAGCTCCCCTCACCCAGCAGACAAGGCCCGTGGGGAGGGGGCAATGGCAGGCCCCGGCCTCCAAAATTCCCCCAGAAGGACCTGTCCACACAGCCTCCCCCACCGGCCTCAGGGGCTCTGTCCTTGGGCACAGCCAGGGGCCTAATCTGCGCCCACCCCCAAGTCAATCTGCCCCCACAAAATCCAACCAAGTTTGGTGGCCACAGCAAAAAGGGAACACAATGAAGCAGGCGCCCTGCTGGGGGGAGCGGGGGGGGGCTGGCACCCCACTCACTCACGGTGTTGTATGAGTTTATGCCAATAAAAACTCGGTGGCTTGCAGCAATGGCATCCTCCACAGCTGGGATGCCACCCTGGGTGAAGCTACCCCCCTTGGGGCACCAAATATGAGCAGTCCCCGGTGTAAACTCCCCGGCCTCCTCTTTCCCAAGTGAAGTTCTCCAGAGGTTGTGGGACTCCCAGCGCAGCCGATGGCCAGGGGGGAGGAAGAGGGGGGGAATCGTAGTTCAGCAACCTCTGGAGGGCACCCGGTTGGGAAAGGTTGCTCTGCAGGGTGGGCACAGCAGCTGCTTCTCTTCTGAGCCCGTCTCTCGTCCAGCTGGGTGGGCGGCAGCAGCCCCCCCTCACCTTGAGCAGGCAGGCGGCAAAGACGGTGAAGCCCTCGGCGTGGAGGCGCCTGGCCAAGGCCTGGCCGAAGCCTTTGTCGCAGCCAGTGATGAGCACGGCCTTCCCGTCGGCCTGCAGGGGGGAGACAGGAAGGGGCCCCCTCAGAGGCTGCAGAGAGCCAGGAGGAGCAGGCAAGGCTCGGCCACCAGGGAGAGAGCATCTCTACGCTCTAGACCAGAGGGGTCCACGTGCGGCCCTCAAGGCCCTTTGGTCGGCTCCCGCCCTCCTGCTTCCCTAGGTAGGACGTGCCCAGCTTTGGGAAGGAGATGTGAAGGCACCAGGGAGGAGCTGCCTGAGCCTCATGTCTTCATGCCAAAGCCCTCCGTCTTGCTTAGTGGTTTGGGGAAGGCGGCAGGAGGGCCAAGCGGGGCGGGGGTGTGTCAAACGTCAGCCTCTCTCCCCCAATGACCCACCCTGAGAGATGGCTTCACCCAACCACCCTCCCAACTGGAGGGTCCCGATCCAGCTCTCCTGCTCCCACACCTCTCTCAGCCATCCGGGTCCTAAGAGGCTCAACAAAGGCAGATGGATGGCTTTAAAGGATCAGGAACATTCCTGCCTCCCTCTTCCAGCGAAGGAGGGGAAGAGGCAGGCAAGAGCAAGCCCAGAGGGGCTGGGAGGAAGCACGGCCGGCCAAGCCCCCCCCCCCCCGAGAGCAGAGTTTGCCTCTCCTGATCTGCACCCCCTGAAGTCACGAAGGGGGTCACCCTCCCTCTGAACCCACCCCATTTTGTGGCTTGCCACACTTGTCGCTCTCTCCTGGCCAGCTCAGAGGTGCTGTGTCTCCTCCCGACTCCTAGGAAGCAAGGGTTGACTCAGAAGCCTCCCGCATGGTGGCCCACTGCAAAGAAGGATGTCCGGTGGCACAGCAAGGGTTAAGAGCTGCTCCCCTGTGGGCACCAGGCGCGGAGGCAGGGGGCTGTGGCCCAGCCGTGTTTGCTGCGGAGACACCCAGTGGGCAGGGCCCCTTCCTCCTTCCTGCACCAGGAGGGTCAGGCTGGTGGTTCCTCCTTCCTGCCCCTCTTTCCTGGGCACCTTGTGCAATGAGCCGTCTGGAGGCGGCTTCAGCCGCAACAAGTTGTGGCGGCAGATAAGGATCAGGCCTCAGCTGCCAAGCAAGACCCAGAGCCGGTTTTTCAGGGCTGGGAAGCTGCTGAGCAACCGGCAGGCAGGCCTCACCTGACCCGACTGCTCTCAAGGACAAGCGAACGGGAAGTGCGAAGCGAGAGAGAGCCCGCTTGCCAAGGGCGGGTGACTGGGCTGCTGGCCTGGCATGTGCGGTGGCATCTCCCCTGCGTCACCCTGGGCGAGGGAAAGAGTGGCCGGCCTGGAAAGTCCTCTGGGGACACGGCCTGCCCACCCAGACCAAGGAGAGAACTCGGCTCTGGAAGCAGGCCAAGGCACCAAGGGCAGGAGCTATTTTGAAGCCCACAGAGGAACAAGAAGACCTGCGGTGTTTACAGTCCTTGTCAGCCTCCACTCCTCCCTTGCCAGCCCTCCCTCCCCACATCCACAAAAGTCGACAGGCCAGCTTAACTGGGGGGGGGGTGACCAATGGACGGAGCCACACCTGAAGGTGATTCAACAGCTGATGCCTTTGGGAGCGCAATAAACTGGGAAACCTCCAGACTAGTTAAGGCAGAGCCCTGGGACCTGGGTTGTTTGGAACACATTTTAAGCACAAATTGCTCAACTCCTAGGGCTGCCGTACGTCCAGAATTTCCCAAAAATAATGTCCGAATGGAATATTTGAGGATCGGTAGAAATGTTTGGGGAAACCCGGGCATATGGCAACCCATGTTGGAAATGTATATTCCCGCCCCCCTAATTTTCTAAAAAAATAGCTGTTGAACTATTCTGCAACCCTGCCACCCCCAGAAGCCCCTGGTGTCCTGGTGCAAATGGCTATGTACCGTATTTTTTGCTCTATAAGACTCACTTTTTCCCTCCTAAAAAGTAAGGGGAAATGGGTGTGCGTCTTATGGAGTGAATGCAGGCTGCACAGCTATCCCAGAAGCCAGAACAGCAAGAGGGATTGCTGCTTTCACTGCGCAGCGATCCCTCTTGCTGTTCTGGCTTCTGAGATTCAGATATTTTTTTTTTTCTTGTTTTCCTCCTCCAAAAACTAGGTGCGTCTTATAGAGCGCAAAATACGGTAAATGCTGTTCTCTAGAGGTGAGGCAAAGGTGCCCAAGGCCAGCTCTGGTCCAGCAGATCAGCCGGAAGGAAAAGAAACTCCAGCAGCCTGGATACAAAACGAAGCCACAGCCAAGGAGGCCCTAACCCGAAGGCACACTGGCTTGGGCTTCCCCTCCTGGTGATCTCTTCCAGCTGGGACTATTTTAAGAGGTGACCTTTGCCTGCCTCTGGGTCAGACTCTGAGCCCCACATTCCTCTCTCAGGCACAGGAGGGGTTTGCCCTTTGTCAAGGGCGAACAGGAGCCCCTCTGTGGTGGGGATCCCGGCACTGCCTGGCTCTAGCCTGGCTCCCACCTTGACCTGACCTCCCTTCATCTCTCCCCTGCTCGTCTCACTCTCCTGTCTTGTTTGTCCCAGGAAGCCTTGTGGACCCTTTGACTCGGTTTCCCTCCTGGCCACTTGGGCTGAGAAGGGCTGCCTAGTCCACAAAGAGTGGGGTGGATTTAGATCAGTGCAGCTTAAGTCTCCAAGGGGAAAAAACAAAATCCTGCAAAGTTATTGGTTTAAATCAAGTTTCACGTTTTGTAACCTGGCTCTTTCCTAATAGCAATGAGCTGGCTGTAGCCATGGAGCCATGTTTACTTGCAGCTAAATAGAGTCCTTTGTGCTGCGCAGGAACCCCAAATCTTCATGTTGCCAATGTGACTTTTGCACAGAAGCCAAAAAGGAGGCCGGGGGGGGGGGGCTGCAATGAGTGACTTTGTCTCTCTCTTGCAATGACAGTAAGCAAGACCATTTGTTGGGGGGGGGGCTGTGACTCAGTCGGAGAGTATCTGCTTTGCAGGAAGGTGGTCTCGGATTCCATTCCTGGCATTGCTGAGCTGGCCTCTTTCTACCACTGGCAGAGCGGCCTGCTGAGCACTCCTGCAAATCCTGACACCCCCCACCCACCCCCAGCCGTCTCCTTTCATTCATTGTGAACTGGGAGACTGGTTAGGGCTGCCCAAAGGGACTTGGCACTTAACCACAGGCACTGCTTTTCATGCAGCCCAGAGTCCAGTTGGGGGGCTGGGTCTCACAGCACTGCTCCTTGCACACTTGCTCCAGGCAGCTAATTAAGTACAATCACAAAATGTGGTTTTTCAGAATTTAACCACAATGACCATGACCCCATTGTGAACCATCATTTGCTCCAACTGCCAGCAGACTACTCTAGAACAGCCTCCTGTGATTGATTGCAGAGTAAACGTGATAGAAAATTTGGTATTAAGAAATGCACTGAAAATTTTTCATTTATTAAAAAAACAAAGAAATAAAAATGTGCAGTTATGTTGTCATAATCATTGGATTTGAATTGAGAGGCGGAAGCAAACCACCCCCCCCCACCTGAGCCCAAGATTGGCAATATTTGTTTTCATTGGTTAAGCAATTACAAGGCAAGAAAGCAAATGGGATTGAAAGGTTTTTAATTGGTTTGACAAATGTGCTTTATGGTATCAATCACACAACAGAATTAAAAATCCGCTTCCTTGATTTTCAAGCCAGTGCAGCAGCCCCCCTGCCAGAGAGGAAGGGGCTCCAGAGCTGGGCTCCTGTTCAGCTTTGGGGATGCAGAGACGCTGGGCCTCCGGGCTCCACGCCACCCCACCCTCTCTGGGGCACCCAGGGTGCCTTGCTGCCCCCCACAAAGAGGATGCGGGGGGGGGGCTTTCTTCCTAGCCTACAAGGCAGCGGGGCTTCCTTAGAGGTGGCTCCACAATTGTTGTTACTTTGAAGATTTGCACCTTGCCTTTCAAGCAATGATTCTCAAGGCAGCAAACAAGAAACAGGAAATATTACAAAACCCCAACAACGCCCCGCCAGGCACGCAACAGAATGGCTTCCATTGTTTCAGTTTGCAAGTTTTAGTCTGCTGTAAAGTTTCTTGCAACTGGATGTGTTTTAAGCTGTAAATTGCCCTGGAATCTGACATGATGAAAGGCAGCTTTAAGTAATTGGCTGTGTGGATTGCAGCATTTGGGACTTATTAGCTTAGAGAAAAGGTAAGAGGTGATGTTGAGGGAAGTTTGTAAATTTACCTGCCATGGAGAAAGCGGGCAGAGAAAAGTTTCTCTCTCCCTTTGGCAACATTGGAACTCACGGATATCCAATGAATGTCAAAGGATTCAGGGCACAGAAAGGGAAGTCCTTCTTCATGCAGAGCAGAGTTAAACTGTGGAACTCCCTCCCACAGGAGACAGTGACAGCCACTGACTTGGATGGCTTTAAAAGAGGAGAAATCCATGGACAGGAGGAGGAGGAGGAGGAGGAGGAGGAGAAGGAGGAGAAGAAGAAGAAGAAGAAGAAGAGAGGGCTACTGATGGGCTACTAGCCATGTTGGCCAGACTCTCTCCCCTTCCCAGCCCGGCTCCTGAATCCTAGTTTGGGAAAGTGCAGGAGCAGAGAGTTCCTTTTGGGCTTCCCACAAAGGGCACCTGCTTGGCCACTGTGGGAACAGGAGGCTGGACTAGATGGGCCCCCTGGGGCCTGATCCAGCAGCCTCTTCTGAGGCACAAGTGTGTGTGAGTGAGAGAGAGAGAGAGAGGCCTGAGGCGCCTAGTCGTCCCCCCCCCCGCTGTCTCCCAGGCCGCCCTGCTCTGGCACCCCCAGACCCCCCCCCTTTCTGGAGCCCCGTCCTTCCAGGCTGCTGGGACGGAGACACGTCTTCTGGGGAAGAGCGCAGACTTGAGCACAAAGTCCAGAGCCAACGAGAAAGGGAGGCGAGGAGGGGCTTCCTTGAGGGGGAGCCCCCCTGTCCAGGGCAAGGAAGCCACGCAGGGCCCCGGAGGGCAGCTCTCTGGCTGAGCCACGCCTAGCCCCCCCCCCCGTTGCCCCGGCTCCAGCCGCGCTGCTCCTCGCCCAGGCCTGGCCCGGGTGCAAAGGGCAGCACGCCGGAGGCTCGGGGCCCCTATGGGCCGGCCAGCCTCCTCTGGTGCCCCGGCCTGCTCTGAGTCCAGACACGGGGCTGAGGCCCGCTGCTCCGGGGGGCGCAGCGGCTCCCGCTCCCTTTCCTCCCCCCCCCCCGGGCGCTACTCACGGCGAGGGCGCCTCCCCGACGGGGCAGCCGGCGGCCCAGCAGAGGCAGCAGCGCGACGCCCAGCGCGCCCGCCGCGCCCGCGACGCCCCACCGCCAGAGCAGCGGCAGAAGAACCAGCAGGAGAAGCAGGAGAAGCAGCGGCGCTGCCGGCCCGAGCGCGAGGCGGGCGGGGGGCGGCGGCATCTCCTCCTCCCGGGGCGGGCGCGTGACCTCACTTCCTCGCCGGGCGGGCGGGAGCGCAGGAGGCCGGGCCAGTCGCGGGAAGGAGGCGCCGGAGAGGGAGCGAGCGAGAGCGCGCAGGTGAGGCGCCCCGGCGAAGGCGAAGGCAGGGAGGCAGCCCCCCCCCCCGTCGCCGCCGCTGCCCGTCGGCCTGGCCCTGTTCGCCGGAGCCGGGCGGGCGGGCGGGCGGGCGGGGCGGGGGCGGCGCCGGGCCTCCCTCCCCCGACGAGCCTCCCGGCTCAGCCTCTCAGCGCCCGCCGCCTCCCGGCGAGCGAGCGGCAGGTGTGTCCGGCGAGGCCCTCCGGCTCCAGGCCCCGCCGCCGCCGCCGCCGCTTCCCGCCTCCGGAGCCGGGAGGCCCCGCCAGCCCCGCACGAGGCGCCCGCTTCCCCCCGCCGGCCAGGCCGCGCAGCTCGGCGGAAAGGGGCCTCGAGGCGCCCCCGCCGCCCCTCTGCCTGGGGGGAAGCAGGCCCATCGCCCCCCGCGGGGAGGAGGCTATGGGCACGGGGGGGGCACAGAATAGGAGGCTTCCAGGGCTGGAGGGAACCCCAAGGCTCGTCCAGTCCAACCCTCCGGGTCTCTTGCGTGTGAATCCCCGCCCTTGACCCTGGGGAAGACCTTGCTGGGCTCCGGGCCGCTGCGCTGCATCTTCCGCCTGCCTGCCTGCCTGCCTGCCTGCCAGCCAGCCGGGATCCGGCTGCAGTTCTGCGCCAGGAAGAGCCGCATGCTGCAAAGGGCCCGCAGGATTCCCTGCCACAAGAGATAGCAAGAGGCAGCAGCTTCTCCAGGGTTAGGCTGGCTGCTCTCAGCGGTGCCCGGGCAGCCTCCTTGGAGTGCCCCCCCCCCGCCTGGCCCGGTGTTCTGGTGATGCCACATAAGGGCATTTGCATACCTGCTCCCCATTTGCATAAGGTGCTTTGTCCCTCGAGTTCTGGTGCCTGGAGAGAGTCCTGTGGGGCCTGGCCTGGCTGTGCCCTTCTTCTCCCTGCCAGCACCCGCTCTCCTTTCTGCCCCCTCCCCACACGCTGCCACCTGCAGGGCCTCCCCCAGCCACTCACTCTTGTAACTGACCTACGGGTTCTCCAGAGACCAGGAATGACGTTCCTGCTCCTGTCCTTCCTGCTCCTGCTGCTGCTCCTCTCCTAAAGGGCTCCTGCCCTCCCAGCTCTGGGGCAGGCAGCTCCCGTGCGCTCCCCTCTCTGTGAGCATGGAGCCCCACGCAGGTAAAGGGCAGAGGGCAGGGCAGGTGGCCTTGCTCAGGGGCAGGTGCGGTCAGGAGGCATCCATTGCCCCCCTGGCAGACCTGTGGCAAAGGTGGGGCTTAGTTGAAGCGGGACATGGGGAAGGTTAGGGTTAGGGTCATGGGGAAGGTCACCCAGGGGGAAGCAGCTGGCGGCTGCCCTTCCCAAAGCTGCCACAGAAAGCTGTGCCCACACATTTTGCACTCCTCTTCGCCCTGAGAGGGATGGTCGCCCAGGTCCCAGCTGAGCTCTGTGGTCCAAGGACCCGTCTTGTGTAGCATCACCTTCTCCTGGTGGATGAGCAGGTGCCTCCAACAGAAACTCAAGGAGGATCCGAGCGCAAGAGCAACTCTCCCCTCCGCTGACCCGGCTGCCTCCGCCGCCATCCTGGCCAGTGGCCATTGCTAGCCCTCTCCTCCTTTGCGGAGGCCCTTTGGCCACCTTCCCCTCCCGGAGAGCCAGGCTCCACCGCTTCCTTCCTCTGCTTGGCTTTATGAGTCCGGCCCTAAAACAATCTCCAGTTATACAGCCCCAAGAGCAGCATTTCCCAGGAGGAGGAGGAGCCCCTCTTTGGCCTGCTGCCTCCCAGGCCCCAGCACCCCTCCCTTGGACATGCCTGGGGGTGGGGTGGGGCGTTGCTTTTGGGGGGCTAGTACAGCAGGCAGGGGGCTCCTGCGCAGAGACCAGACCACCAGATGGGCAACAGAGATCCTGAACAGGGATGGTGCCCGTAGGAGGGGCTGTGGCTATGAGAGGGGACCCCCCCCCCGAGGCAGTTGCTTGCCCCAACCACCACGTTGCCTTCCACAAAGAGAAATCGGTTCCTGGACCTGAGAAGAGCCCCATGTCTGGATGGGACCAAGTGCCAGCTGAGTCCAGCACCCTGTTCTCGCAGTGGCCAACCAGGTGCCCTGGGTTTGCGATGCCACCCAAAAGCATGTTGCCCACACGGAGTGCCTTCTGTGTTTTTAGGCAGAAGGGCTGGACGTTGCGTGAGGAGCCTGCTGTTATCTTGATGTGTGGGGTGGGGGGGGGAGGCTCCCTCCTTTTGGACCCTGTTTTATGGCCAAGAGGCCAGTGGGGCCATAAAGGTTTGGAGCAAACAAAGGTGAGGTGTTCCTGCCCTCTCTTGCAGAGCCCAGAGGAAGACTCCGGCTGTGAAGACACCCATGGCAACCATCCTCGCGGCCACCCGCATCTCCCGGCCCCTCGCCCAGCTGGCCACCAAAACCTCCCACCTGAAGGATGTCTCCGCCAGCCTTCGGTAAGTGGCCTTGTGGGGAGGGGTCTGCAGGGGAGTCCCTGGGGAATTGCCCCTTTAGTATCAGGGAGAGGGGCTTCCTCTCTGTCTCTGGCCACGAGGCGCCTGATTAGGGGACCGTCTCCTTCCCCCTCCAATCCCCAAATTTCCTCCAGGCACTGCAGCTTTGCCACCCTGAGGGTTTAGCAATTGGGAAATGGAAAGCTGCCGTGAGGGGTCAGAAGCTGCCCCCTGACCTCCCCTGCTGCTGTCGCGGAGCCCTCTGTGGCCCCATCCCTTGAAAGGCGGCTGGAGACGTCCTGATCAGGGCGTGACGCCAGGGCAGAGCTCAGAAGCTGCCTCATCTGCCCGCCTGGCAGGGCTCCCTAGATTAGCCAGGACTCTGGATCCAAAGGTGGGGGTCCATTTCCCATGGAGCAAGACGCTCCTGACCGCCCCATTCAGGAGCCAAGGCGCTGCTAGGAGCATCCTCCTCTTCCGTCCTCCTTCCTTGGAGCTTCCCAGGGGCATCTGGCTGGCCAGGGGTTGATAGACTAGCTGGGCCCCTGGAAGGCCAGGTGGGCTCAGGTTGTTCTGAGGGTAGGCAAGGCACTGTTGCTTGGTGTGGCAAAAGGACCTGGCAGAGTTGGCAAGGGGGGGGGGAGACCCCCGCTGAGGGGATGTGGGTCAGTGCGGGGTCCATTTTTAAGGGACTCAAAGGCAGAGGGAATTTTAGGGGCCTCTTTCCAGCCAGTTGAGAGACCTCCCCAAGAATGGCTTCTTCCCTGACTAGCAAGCCCCGTTTTCTGCAGACTTGGGGAAGGAGGTGCCAGGATTTATCCTCTTCATTTGGCACCTCTGGCAGAGCTCAGCACCCCCTTTCTGGCAGAGCAGAATTGGCTCCTCTGGGAGCCTCTGCGTGGCCTCCTTGGACTGCCCCAAGTTGAGCAAATAAGTTTCAGAAGAGTCCAGAAGGGCTGTCCGCTTTCCAAAGTCCCCCTGACACGTAGCCCCCCAAGGCTGGCGCCTGGCCCCCTCCCCTCCCTCCGGCCACTGGGCTGACCTTTGGGAAGGATCAGCAAGATGATGTGGCGGCAAAGGGTGACCCTCGGCCACAGTCCCTCGGCGGGGGAGCTTCCAGCCCAGAGAGATGGGGGGGTCCTGCATTTGGGTCTGCCCCTTAGGACAAGCGCTCTCTGGGGCCTGGAGATGCTGGGGGGGGGGGCTTCCTTGCCCAGAGGGCACAAGGGCATCTGCAGCCGCCCAGCCTCTCTGAATTAACACACACACAGAGGCAGGCCTGAAGGCGCCGTAATCGTAATGAGATTACCCTGCTGGGAATAGCTGCGAGGGCAGGTCCTGCCTCTCCTCAACAGCAGCCAGAAGGGGCAAGGGGCCTGGCAGGCCCGGCCTGGACTTGGCAGGAGCAGCAGTTGGAGTCAGGGAGGAAGAGGAAGAGAGATGGGGATTGCAGGTGGGGAGAGAAATGGATGGGGCAGGAGGTCCCTTCTTCCGCCTGCCCAGCTCTCTCTTCCCTCTGTCTGGCAAGGGGGAGCCTTTCCCAGCTGACTTGAAACTGGGGGCTTGTTTGTTTGTTTGTTTGTTTGTTTCTATGCCACCCTTTCCTCCCAGGAGCTCAAGGGGGCACAGATAGTTCTCCCCCTCCTTGTTTAATCCCCGCCCCCAACAACCCTGCAAGGTAGGGTAGGCAGAGAGGCACAGCGACTGGCTCAAGGCCACCCCCAGTGAGCCAGGTGGGGCTTCGAACGCTGGTCCCTCCCAGGTCCTAGCCTGACACTCTCAGCACGGCACCACGCTGGATCCCTCGGGCAGCCGGAGCCAGCGCTGTGGCCCTGTTCGGGTTGGCAGCATCAGGGGCAGAGGAGCTACTCCTGAGAGCGGTCAGGAGAGAACAAGAGAGCTTCTGCTCAGCCCCTTGGGGAGTGGGACCCGCAGCCAAAAGTCCTTGACCCTGGCCAGCCGGGGGGAGGGAGGGGTGGTGTCATCCGATGAAAATAACCGCCTCTTGCCATGACGCCTCCTGGGAGCAGCAAACCCAGGCGAGGAGGGGCGCTGGGTGACTTCTCACGGACTGGGCTCTTGTGTGTCCCCCTCCCCAAAGAAAGAGCTAGAAGATCTCTGTTTCCTGGGAGGCAGCCTGGGCCTTAGTCTGAAGCAGTGCCCCCCCCTTCTGGGGCAAAATGAAAGGGGCTGGGCCCCATTGGGAGAGGTGGGCGCAGCGCCATCAAGTCCAGGGCGCAGGGAAATGGACAAGTGGCCAGAAAGTCCAGCAGCTCCCCTTGGCTCTGGAAGAGGAGACTTGCCCCCAATGTGGGGACGGGTGAAAAGGAAGTTGAAGGGTTAATTCAAGAGGGTCAGATCTTTCCAAAATGCCTGGGGGTTATGGGGGCCTTTTTAGGGAATTGTAGAATCCTGGAAGGGACCCCCCTGGGCCATCTAGTCCCACCCCCTGCAAGGCAGCAGTCAAAACTAGGCGTCGCTGGCAGGCGGCCAGGCTCCCCAGCTGGACTGCTTTCTGCAGGGAGACGAGCCTGGGGGTCGGGGGGGGCACAGCTAGGAGCCCCTGGAGAAAGAGGGAGGGAGGGAGGGACATGATGTTGGGGGTCAGTTTTCCCGGGTGGGAGCTTCCGCTGACCCAGCCGCTGGGCTGCTGCCTTCTCCCTTGCAGGCCCCTGCCTGAGATCTGTTCCTCGGTGTCCCGCCTGCAGGGCCGGCGTTCCTACGCAACAGAAGTGGATGAGGTGAGAGCCTGTGGAATTCACTGCCACAAGAGGGGATGAGGCCCATGCAGGGAGGGGCACAGAGATGGGGATACTGGGCCGCTCTTGGCTTCTAGGGGGTCTTCCTCCAGCTTCCTGGCTGGGGTGGGGAGGCAGCAGGGAGGGGGGCTGGGGGGGCCTGGGAGGCAGCTCAGTGGCCTTTTCTGGTGGGGGCGGGGGCTCTTGTGGGGTGAGGGGCTTCCTCCTGGGGTGCCCCCTTGTGTCCAGCAGCAACACTGATCTTTCTGGGCTGTTTCCTGGAAGAACCTGAGCTGTCCATCCGGAGATCATAGAATTGCAGAATTGGAAGGGGGGACCCTAGGGGTCATCTAGTCCCACCCCCCGCAATGCTGGAATCTCAGCTCAAGCATCCAGGACAGACCTCCAGGGAAGGAGAGTCCACCGCTCTCCTCTTGTGGAAATCGGTTCCCCTGTCTAACGGCTCTCACCATCAGAAAACCCTTCCATGGAGCCAGCCTGGGCTTCCTGCTTCATCTGGGGAAATTCCCCCCAGCGCTGTTTCCTTGATGGGGCTGCTGGCATTTCTGGGGGTGTCTGAAGACCCCAAAGGTTTGCCAGCTGGAGTCCTGACCTGGAGGGTTCTGGGTGCCCCCCCCCGAGGTTGTGGGACCCTCTTTTCATGAGCGGTGGGTGGGGGTGGGCCTGCTCCTCCCTGGGGGGTCTCCAACGTCCCCTTTTTGTGCTCCAGATTGGCGAGAGGCCCGTCCTCATCACTGGCTGCGATTCTGGCTTTGGCTTCGCCCTGGCCAAACACCTGCACGAGCGAGGATTCATCATCTATGCCGGCTGCCTGCTCAAGGTAGGGGGGGGGAGAGCTGGGGGGGGAGCCGAAGCCGCCAAGCCCCTCCTGGGCAGACCCCACCCTCCAGCTGTGCCTCCAGGCTGCCAGCTGCTCTCTCCCAGGGGGCCCTGGAGGGTCCTTGTCTCTCCAAAACCCAAACAGAGGGAGCCTGTGGATGTGGGCAGGAGCAAGTCTGGGGCAGCAGGCGGCCTTGGGGAAGGTTAGTTAAAGGGCAGCTGGTCCCCCTTGGAGACCCCTCTCCAAATCCCCCTGCCTGGCCCGGGAGGGATGTGGGGCTCCCCCTGCTGGCCACACTCTCAAATGGCAGCCAGCGATGCTCTTCCCTTGCAGGAGAATCCCAGTCATCCTTACCATTTTCAAGGGCCCAAAATAGTTGGGGGGGGACCAAGCCTTTTGAGTGCCTGGCCCCCACCTGCTGGTTCTGGCAGCCCTTCCCTTGGCTGGGAGACCCAAGGCAGCCGGCTGCAGCTCTTGCCTGCCCCCTGGTGGCAAGACAAAATGCCTCCTCTGCCAAATTGGTGTGGTGAAAGTCTGGCAAACGGTACTTTTGGTGAAATAAAACCATAAAATTGGCACAAAGTCTCCTTTGCAATGTAATGGCACAGTTTCCTTGTGCTCATGGCTAAAAATGAAGAGAGAGAACTCCCCTCACTGTACAAACCTTTTTGGTTAACACAAACTGTTTTGTCTCCTTCGCTCCATGCAAACTGCCAGGGAGAAGATTCCCTCGTGGTTCCCCCCCCTTCCCCCCCCCCTCGTGTTATTTGGCCCTTGTTCTGCACACATTGCCTAAACACTGGGTTCAGGGTGGGATATTTCAATATTGAGCTGTATGACGTTGTTGCATGTTGAAAGGATGTCAAAAGGAATCAGTAAGCAAACAAATGTCCCCTCCGTTCTTCCTCAGGAGCAGGGAAGGGGCGGCTCCAAGGATCTGGACGCCATGAAGAGTGACCGGATGAGGACCGTCCAGCTCAACGTCTGCGACAGCGAAGACGTTAGCCGGGCCGTGGACTACATGACCTCCACTCTGAAGATGCCAGAAAAGGGTAGGTGGGGGTCTGGCATGAGATCAGCCAAGGAAGGGGGTCTGGCAGCCCTTGGCGCCTGAGTCTCCGCACGTGGCCCCCCATCTCCCCAGCCTCCTTCTCGGGGGGGGCCTTGTGGGGCCGTGCAGGTCTGAGGCACCAGGGGGCGCCACAGCAGGGCTGGGGCTGGCAGAGGCAGGAAACACCCTCAGAGCCCTTCCAGCCCCCTCCTGGGCGGCTCCCGCGTAGCCTGAGGGCTCACCTGGCGCAGCGTGGCTTGTGAGGTGCTTGTGATGCAGTCGTGAGGAAGCCCCGCTTGGCTGTGCTTGTGGCCTGAAGCCCCGTTCATTGCTCCCCCTCGGGGCACACAAATGCAATTACAGATGGGGTTACGCAATGACCGATGTCTCCGTGGGTCTTCTCCCCTCAGGGCTGTGGGGCCTGGTCAACAATGCTGGGATCTCAACCTTTGGGGAGGTGGAGTTCACCAGCATGGACACCTACAAGGAGGTGGCGGAGGTGAACCTGTGGGGAACGATCCGCACCACCAAGGCCTTCTTGCCTCTCATCCGCAGGGCCAAAGGTGAGTGAGACGCTGGGGCTCCCCATAGCTGTAGGTCAGGGGTCTGCCTCCACCATCCCTAACCACTGGGCATGCTGGCTGCTGGGCTGGGTGTGTCAGGAACCCTGCAGCATTGGGGGGGGGTGCTACGTGAAGGGAGGCCTTTGGGGTTGGTGGGTCTTTGGGAGAGGAGGAGGGCTGGGTCAGGGAGCTTTGCCCAGCAGCCACTGTGAGTCGGGGGCTTCCACCCCACAAGCACCTGGGGCCAGAGGAGGGGCTTGTTGGGGGCCCCCCGAGGCGGCCCCTCCCCTCTGCTCCTCAGGGTCCCCCTCTCCTCATCCCCTGCCCCCCTCACGTGCGCTTCCCCCTCCAGGCCGCGTGGTGAACATCAGCAGCATGATGGGGCGCATGGCCAACCCGGCGCGCTCCCCCTACTGCATCACCAAGTTCGGGGTGGAGGCCTTCTCCGACTGCCTGCGCTACGAGATGCGCCCGCACGACGTCAAGGTGTGCATCGTGGAGCCGGGCAACTTCATCGCGGGCACCAGCCTCTACAGCCCCGAGCGCATCCAGGCCATCGCCGACAAGATGTGGGACGAGCTGCCGGAGATCGTGCGCCGCGACTACGGGCGCAAGTACTTTGACGAGCAGATCGCCAAGATGGAGTCGTACTGCAACAGCGGCTCCTCCGACACGTCGCCCGTCATCGACAGCATCGCCCATGCCCTGACCTCCTCCACCCCCTACACCCGCTACCACCCCATGGACTACTACTGGTGGCTGCGCATGCAGGTCATGACCCACATGCCGGCCGCCATCTCGGACCGACTCTACATCTACTGAGCGGGGGGGAGGGGGGACCCCTGCGCCCCCCACCGCCACCGTGTCCACCTCCAGGAAGGGAAACTAATGCTAAGGGTTACCCTGTACAAATTTCTCCGTAGTCGCTTGTCTAGTTGAGGTCCAAGTACTGTATTTTTAGGGCTAAGCTGTTGTTAATTTAAGCGTTTGAGGCTCCCTTACTCCTTGCATGGTGTGTCTCCAACCAGTGCTATTTATTTCCAATAGTCCCATTTCCCCCCTGCCCATCTCAGCTGCTTTGGTCAGAGTTCCTGCTGCATCGACAGCTGCCCTCCCCTGGGAGCCCCCCCTTGAGTGGCAGGCGGGGGGGGTGGACCCTGTGCCCCTGGCTCCTTCCACCCAGCGCCCAGAAGCCCTAGAGCCCCTCCCTCTGGGCTGGAGCTGGGGCTCCAAAGGAGCCATTGGGCCTCCTCCGGCCTTGCCTGCCTTTTGCACACTCCTTCCGGGGGGCAACTCTGTGGACCAGAAACACAAACACTCCCCCCCCCCCACTAGGCAGGCTCATTCCCATGCACTCCTGCGAGCAAGCGAGCGATGTTCTCCTGAGCCAGGCACTTTGAACAGGGGCTGCAGAGGCAGGGTGGGGGGAGCTTCTTTGGGAGCCCCCGCCCCTCAGTTTGGGCAGCCAGATGCTCCTAAAGGGCAAGGAGGGTCCCTTGGGCTGGGCAGGGAATTAGAGGACTTTTTAGAAGCTCAAACTCTTTCTGGCATGCTGGCGGGGGGGGGATGCCTGCCCCCTTTGCTCCCCAGGGCCAACTGCGCTCACAGGGCACTGCAGCAATAAGTGGCTCTCGCTGTCGGTAGCGCACACCAAGGAGCCGCAGGCTAGCCATGCCCCCCCCCCAGCCACTGAGCGAGGACTGGGGGGGGCCCTCTGGGAAAGGGAACAAGCCCTGCGAGGCAGGACGGCAGAGTCTCTGCTCCACTGCAGTTTTAGGAACACACTTTTGTACAAAAAAGCCATGTGGAGATATTTTTGTGATGCTTCAGAGGCGAACAAAACTGTCACTGGAAGCTGATGAAAAGTGTTTGTGAAAGTGGGGGGCAGGGGGGGCCTGCACTTCTGTAACGGGGGAGGGGGAGTCTGTGATCAAATATCCTCTGCCTTGATTAACATTAAACAACAGTGACAAGGAAGACGCTGCCAGACTCCCTCCTTCCTCTCTCTGTTTCTCTATATTTGCCTGTAAATATGGACGTCGTCTTCTTCTTTACAATCCCTCGTGTATTTGATAGAAGTAACATCAACTTTCGGGACGCGGGTGGCGCTGTGGGTAAAACCTCAGCGCCTAGGGCTTGCTGATCGAAAGGTCGGCGGTTCAAATCCCCGCGGCGGGGTGCGCTCCCGTTGCTCGGTCCCAGCGCCTGCCAACCTAGCAGTTCGAAAGCACCCCCGGGTGCAAGTAGATAAATAGGGACCGCTTACTAGCGGGAAGGTAAACGGCGTTTCTGTGTGCTGCGCTGGCTCGCCAGAGCAGCGATGTCACGCTGGCCACGTGACCCAGAAGTGTCTTCGGACAGCGCTGGCCCCCGGCCTCTTGAGTGAGATGGGCGCACAACCCTAGAGTCTGGCAAGACTGGCCCGTACGGGCAGGGGTACCTTTACCTTTACCTTTAACATCAACTTTGTTCCGGTAAACTCGGCGTTTCTTCCCACAGATGAACTTAATCATCGAGCTGCAGAATGAAGTAGTAAAGAAGCAATCGCTTGGAAAACAGGGCAAATCTGTGCCTGTATTAATATTTCCCTTGAAGGAAGGCTAACAAATAGAAGGATGAAGAGCCTCTCTCTGTTCTTCCCTTGGGAAAGAGAAGTGGGGATTGTCAAGAAAAGGACGACGTCTAGATTTGTCTGCTTGTCTGTCCTCCTTATTGCAGAGCACTTGTCTGTGGTGAGATATTTTTCTGTGACTTCGCATTGTGCTATTATATCACCACCCTCTGTGCTGCCTGTTGAAGCATCTGGCAGGGGCTGAGCCCCCCCCCCCATCTTAGGCAGCCAGTCTCTTCTGCAACGGGGGCCACGGGGGGGGGGGGTCTCTTGGCCATGCCTCGCCAGAGCTGCCACCGGGCATTGTGGGGACCCTGTCTGGCGGGTTTGGGGCGGGGGGAGAGTAGGGTCAGTGCTTGGGGGGGGGTCCTTTAGGCCAGTGTTCCCCAACCTTGGGGCTCGGCTCCAGCTGTTTTTGGACTACAACTCCCATCATCCCTTGCTAGCAAGACCAGTGGTCAAGGATGATGGGAATTGTAGTCCAAAACAGCTGGAGGCCCAAGGTTGGGGAACACTGCTTTAGGCCACAGGAGGGGGCGGCTCCTTCCTGGGTGGAAGCCCCCCCCCAACATATGAAGCAGAGATAGGGACCCCCTTTCAAAAAAGTGCTTTGTTGTGAGGCCTGGCAGGGCTGAGCCAGGCGCTGGGAAGCTAAGCGCAGGGCTGGCCTGCAGCTGCTCCCCCCCCCCATTTCCCCAGCATCCCCCTGGGCATGGTGACCCTGGAGGGTCTCTGTGCTGTGGCATCTGCCTGCTGTGCCGGGGGCCAAAGGCCTCCATCCTCCTGGCTGGGCCAAGAGTGCAAGAGGAGCCCATGAGAGAAGCTGCCCCTTCATCGCAGGCCAAGGGCAGCTTTTTAGGGGGGAAATGGCAGGGGGGGGCAAGGCAAGGAGGTGCCAGCAGCCCTAGAGCCCGAGGTGGAAGGCAAAAGCCTCCCCAGTTCATCCTTGCCGCTCCCCCCCCCAGCTGCACAGCCTCATGGCAGGATGGCATGGAAGGGCAGCACCTCCCACTCCAGCTTTGGGTCAGGAACCCCCCATGCATCTTCTTGCCCCCTCTGCTCTTCACTGGCCAGCTGTTTCTCAGGTCTGCTCCCCTCCCCCCCCGCTGAAGGCCAAGTCATCCTGCTGGGTGGACCAGGCCCCGGGGGTGGGGGGTGCCGCAGAATCAGAGTTGTAGGGCTGGAAGGGTCGCCAATTGTCGTCTGGTCCAAGCCTCTGCCATTCAGGCAACGATCCCTTGCCTGTTTCACGAAGGGCAGGCCTTGTCTGCCTTCGCTGGATGGCTTGCCAGGAAAATGCTCTTGGAAATTTTCCTGGTGGAAAGTTCCTTCCTGGGGGGGGGAAAGGGATGCGCAGGAAACAGCTGCTTTGTGTCACCCAACAACCCGCAATTCCTGTTCAAATCAGTGAGAAAAGCTAGACACGAAACAGGGCAACTTTGCCAGAGCAGCCTCCCTTCACCAGGAGGCCAGAACTATTTCGGCAGCCAGGACCGGCCGGCAGAGAATCCTGGCCCTGTGCCTCAGTCCTGATAGCAGCCTCAGAGGAGCCCCCTCTGCTCCCCAAGATCAGCCTTACGGGAATCTCAGCCTTGCTTGGGAGAGCGGCAGCAGCCACTGGACACCTAGAGTATTTATTTATTATTTATTATGTATTCAGCTTATATACTGCTCTTTATCCAAAAATCCCAGAGCAGTGTACAGCACCAAAACATAATTTATATAGCATAAGAATAAGAATGGGAAAAAAAATCAGAGAAAAAAATCATGTGTATCTGAAGATGTATGCATGAAAGCTCATACCAAGAACAAACTTAGTTGGTCTCTAAGGTGCTACTAGACAATTTTTTAATATATTTCTACTGCATCAGACCAACACAGCCACCTACCTGAATCTAGGAAAAAATCATAATAGTCTCTTCACTTTTAAAAGGCCATAATTTAATGGCCAGAAGCTTGGGTAAAGAGAATGTTTTTGCCTGGCACATAAAGACCATTTCCTGGTGTTTCCTGCTTGGCAGGGGGTTGGACTCGATGGCCCTTGTGGTCTATTCCAACTCTATGATTCTATGACCATGTAAGGACGGTGCCAGGTGAGCTTCTCTCCTGTGGTGACTCCACAACTGGGGAGTCGCCACAGAAAAGGCCCGTTCTGGTGTTGTCACCCTCCAAACCTCTCAAGGAGTCGGGACATAGAGAAGGGCCTCAGGTGACAAGTGCGGAGCCCAGGGCGGTTTGCATGGGGAGAGGCGGCTCTGAAGGCACTGAGGTCCTGAGCCTTGTCTCTGGATTGAGCTTCTCATCCAGTCTGCTCTCATCCAGTCTATTACTGAGGAAAAAGAGCATTCTGGCCCATCTACTGCCTGGCCTGTGGCTATAAAGGAGAAAAAGAGCTGTGCATCACCAGCATATTGCTGCCAACACACTGCAAATCTCCGGATGACTCCACTCAGTGGCTTCCTGGTGGGTGGAATGGAGCCCCGAGGGACCCCCCATGGAAGGCTCCTTGGGGCTCCTGAAGACAACCATCCAAGGAGGACCACTGCAGAGCCCTACCACATGCCCCCCCCCCCAACTCAGACAGCCTCTCCAGGAGGAGTCTGGGGTGATATCGAAACCTGCGAGAGGAAGATTAATATTGCCCGTCTCTCTCCACAGAGGTCATCATATATGGATCTAAAAAACCCGTCTGCTCCAAGAGCACCTGGATCTGGTCAGCGAACAGAACGGCAGACAAAAGCACAGAGGGACCCCCAAATGACCCTTTGAGTGCAGTGCAGGTCTCAGGTCTCAAAGTGCCGGCCAGGGCCGGCCTCTGCGCTACTGGCAGCAAACAGGATTGGGGCCTTGAGCAGGCGAGGCAGATGCCTTCCTTGGAAGTTTTTAAGCAGAGGTGGTGTGGCCACCGGTCCTGGATGCTTTAGCTGAGATTCCGGAATGACGGGGTTGGACTAGATGACCCTTGGGGTCCCTTCCAACTCTACGATTCTATACTCTGCCATTGAGCTGCAGCCCTCGCTCATTCTGGACTCTGCTCAGCTAAAGGCTGTGCCTGGCACAGGGCAGCAGGAGAGGACAAGACCCTGATTGTCGTCCTCCTCCTCCTCCTCCTTCGGGATTCATGGCTGACAGGAGCCCAGCAGAGCCAGGAGTCTGGCCTGGGCAAACGCTGGCACGGAAAGAGGGGGAGGAGGAGGAGGAGGAGGAGAGAGAGACCTTCTCCAGGCCTTCACCCTCCACCAGATACGGTTCTTGTGGCCTCAGCAGCAAAAGGTACCGTATTTTTTGCTCTGTAAGACTCACTTTTTCCCTCCTAAAAAGTAAGGGGAAATGTGTGTGCGTCTTATGGAGTGAATGCAGGCTGCACAGCTATCCCAGAAGCCAGAACAGCAAGAGGGATTGCTGCTTTCACTGCACAGCAATCCCTGTTGTTCTGGCTTCTGAGATTCAGAATATTTTTTTTCTTGTTTTCCTCCTCCAAAAACTAGGCCTGGTGTCTTATAGAGCGAAAAATACGGTATTCAGGATGCTGCAGAAAGCAGCCCCATCAGCTCCTGGGAAGACAAGTTTCTCTCTGCTGGGTGGGGAGGGAAGAAACTAGAGGGCTCCCCCACACACATACACACCCTGGCCTGATCCAGCTGTAGGGCTCTCCTCACATCCCAAGGGCTGCCCACCACCTGCGGCCAGGAGAAGACGGAGCTGCCCACCAGTGCCCGTCTGTGCCACCTCCACTGCTGCTCTGCCTCCTGCACTGGCACCCAATTGAGTCCTGCACTCCCCCCCCCATGCGCCCTCCCTCCCTCATGCACATGCACACACATGGCCTCTGTGTTGTGTTCATGCCCAGCTGAGCAAGTGGCCCATCTGGGGTGAACTGCCTTTGTGCTCCAGGGGGCATGATGAAGACCCAGGGGCGTGGGGCTGGGGCAGACCCTGCCCCTGCTGGCGCTCCTCCTGGAAACTCTTCGTGGGTGGTGGTGTGGGGCAGGGTCCGTCTGTGCACAAGATACCAGGCTGACTCCCTTCTGCGCTCCTGGGGGGGGGCCAGGCGGGGCGTTTGCAAGAGAGGTGTCACGTACCAAGGCACCCTGTCTCCCTGCTTGGCGCAGGCTGGCACCACCATGGGACTCTGGCCCTCCCAAAGTGGCTGAATCGGGCTTTGTGCGGAAAGCGAACTGTGCCCAGCTGGGAGGCGGCCCCTGCTCCACTGTCAGGCACAGCCCTCATGCTCCCCCTGCCTGGCGTGGCTCAGGCCATCCCTCCAGGCCAGGCTAGTTACCTGCTTTTCAACTGAAGCAAACTTTCAAAGTGAAAACAAACAAAATGCATTCAAACCTCTGAGGAGAAAATACAGTCATTTTTA